ACATCACAAATAATATGGCAGTAACTTCGAATTGGATTGTTTATTTGATGACTTAAAAGAATATACAATCCTCCTAAGTGTTATAAAAAGTAAATATTTTTCATTACAATGTCAGTTAATACTGAATTGCCAGTTCGAAAAGATTAAATAACCAAGATCGAAGAATGTCAGTTTGTCTACGCAACAGAATACTTCAAGAAAGTAAAAGAAAACAGTGTTTTTTAGAAAAAAATATTGAAGCAGAGACAAAGAAGAGAAAGAAAACAGAATGAGAAAAAGAGAAAAGTGTATGAGGGAGAGAGGGTGAGAGAGATTGTGTATGTGAGGGAGAGAGAGATTGTGTGTATGAGGGAGAGAGAGAGATTGTGTGTGTGAGGGAGAGAGGGGGTGAGAGAGATTGTCTGTGTGAGGGAGAGAGGGGGTGAGAGAGATTGTCTGTGTGAGGGAGAGAGGGTAACAGATTGTGTGTGTGAGGGAAAGAGAGGGGTGAGAGATTGTGTGTGTGGGGGAACAGATTGTGTGTGTGTGGGAAAGAGAGGGTGAGAGATTGATTGTGTGTGTGAGGGAGAGATGGGGTGAGAGATTGTGTGTGTGAGGGAAAGAGAGAGATTGTGTGTGTGAGGAAGAGAGAGAGATTGTGTGTGTGAGCGAGAGAGGGGGTGAGAGAGAGTGTGGAGTGACAGGAGGGGTTTGAGAGAGATTGAGGGAGATTGTGTGTGAGGGAGAGAGGGAGTGAGAGAGATTGTGTGTGTGAGGAAGAGAGAGATTGTGTGTGTGAGGGAGAGAGGGGGTGAGAGATTGTGATGGAGATTATGAGAGAGAAAGAGAGTGGTGAGGGAAATTGGGGTGAGAGAGAGAGATTAGGAGTGAGGGAAAGAGAGAGATTTTGTGAGTGAGGGAGAGAGGGGGTGAGGGAGATTGTGTGTGTGAGGGAGAGAGGGGGGAGAGAGGGGTGAGGAGAGGGGGGAGAGATTGTGTGAGTGAGGGGAGAGAGGATTGGTGACAGAGAGGGGTACAGAAGGATAAAGAAAAAAAAAAGGAGAGATAGAGAGAGGGAGAAAGAAATAAACCTTGTGGTTGGCGGCCAGTTTCAAATTTTGCAGACGTTCTTGTCATGTGAAGACGATAAATATTTACCATTTTAGGCTCCATTTTCTCAAACTGCCGACAGTTAAGCTCTTCTTCTTTGCAAATGGATTAATTCGATCTATCATCTTGCTACTAAAATTTACAGCATCAATTTTCTGTTATGAGAATTTACCATTCATCATTTTGTGCCAATCGTTGGCACTCGAGGAAGTCTGCAGGGCTTGAGAGAATCAATCAGAAATGGACATTCTTAAAACTGCCGTAGATGGACGGAGAGGAGGCGGACGTTTATGGGAAAAATCAATTCTGTTACTTTTCAAAACGTACAAACGTCCAGTAAACGTACACATATACAACAGCAACACTACCAAACCACTGAACTATCTGATCATACATACCCAAACAAACGCATGTAAACATTTTTTATGATTTTTTACGACTTACCAACCCTATATATGTTATTTAAAACCTAAACTTTTTTTGAATTGTAAGAATAATTATTTTTTGTAAGTGAATATTGCTTTATTATTTAAATGACAATGATTTTTAAGATAAAAGTCCTACTATTTAATCCATAGCTAAGGGGGAAACAGGTCCAGAGTAAAACAACGCGCAATCTGGCTAGCTTGAGCGAATGAATGGAGGAACAGGGTTTCAGAGAGATGGCAAAAAGACAAAATTTATTAAGAGCTACAAAGAACAGGAAATTGTGGAGAGCCATGATCGCCAACATTCTGAAGGGACATAGCTACAAAAAAGACGATTTATGAACATGACTCAAATTATTAAATTAAAATTTTTGTTTCGCAGCACCTTGCGGTGTTGGGTGAGACTATCCCTAGTGCAGCTTATTCTATGTTAAATTTCCTTATCTCCTAAACACGTACACCGGAGTGTTTAGTGTTTACTGATATGTTCACGGTAGGTACCCTAAGTGGTTTACTTCAAATTCCAGATCATAGTGTCTGCTTTGGCAACGTTTATCCAAGGTCCGACTTTTTAGAATACTTGTTTAAAAATGTTGATATTTTAAGAAACTCTTCAGTCTTCTTTTTACGGCGAATCAACTTTATTTCAGATTATTTAAAGCCAGAAAATAGTTATAGTTTGTAATTTGGGAGTGGACTGCGAGTGGTAATAATGATTTAGTGATGAGTCCTTACTAATTAACCCATAGCTGGGAGGGGAACAGGTAGATTCCTACACTTCTCCAGGGTTTTTGCGCATGAGTAAATGTAACGAATTTCAAACTTGACTCTCCATTACATCATTCTCATGTCCACGTTTCAAAAAAGAATCAGCACTCATGCCTTGCCACTCAATCCCCACCCCCACCACTTACCCACCTGACTCATACCCACAACCAAACACACACATAGATGAAGAGCTGGGATTTTATTATATTATTGCAAAAGTTCGTGCCCGATTAGAAAATTAAAACAATGCGAATCGGGCATGAAATTTTGCATTTACCCAATATAATCAATAACTTCTTTTCTATATGCCATATAGTATTCTAAATGCCATAAAGCATTCTATATGCCATTATATATACCATAGTGTACTCTATGTACTATATAGCATTCTTTATATATTATAGCATTATCTATACCATATACCCTTATATATGTCATTCTATTTAATATATTGCATTCTATATACCTTATAGCATTCTATATACCACTAGCAGCATGGCCAAGGCGTTGCCCGTGCTTGATTCAAAAATCGTACAACTCATACAGCAATCGCTATCACTTGACTTAAAATACTTTTGCCCTACCTTGCCTTTAAAGGAGTGCCCTTTGCCGTACTGATGTTGCTACGTGCCTTACTTCTTGCCTATCTCACACTGCGAATTTTTTCTAAGCTCTATACTAAACATTAAATCTGTTGCGAAAAAAGAACTAAACAAAATGAACACAAAACGATCAGCTTTTAAAAAGGACTCGTAACTCGAAAAACCGAATGAAAAAAGAATGTTAACAACAAATACTTTTTCACACCCAACACGGTTCTGCAGAATCAGAATCAACGTTGAGTTTAAGCAAGCGAATGAGCCAATTGGAGTAAAGTGCCATGCAGATTTAAATTTTTCCCACTATCGACTAGCATGCTAGTTAACATTCGTGTCAGTCAGCTGTTGGCTCTCACGCTGGCGAATAGAATCTCCCTGCCTATTCGTGGCAGCCAGCTATAGGTTCTCGCTCTGGCCAGTACAAAATGGCCACAAACTACATGAAAACTGCCGTAGAAATCGATTATTTCCACTATCGATGGGAGTTGGGAAATGCAAAGTCGGTCTTGGTCTTTCCGCTGACTTGGACCATGTGCATGTGAATTTTGGTGCAAATCCGTCGAAAATTGCGGCCGTGCATTCGTTACACACACACACACACACACACATCCTGCCTTTTATAGAGATATACCATTCTATATGCCATATAGCATTCTATATAACATGCACCATTCTATATATCATTCCCTATGCCATATGCCATACTCTATACATATAGTATTCTATATACCATATTCCATTTTATATATCATATTGCATTATATATACCACAGAACATTCTCTATACCTTATACCATTTAATATAATACATATAATTTTATATAGCATATTACATTCTCTATACGATATTGCATTTTATATACTATATACCATTCTCTATGCAATACACCATTCTATATACCATATACACTGAGGTGCCAAACTCTTGATTCATTTTTGTAAAATAATTATTTTTCTTAGTTTTACTCCAAGGTCAAGAATGATTATCACCATGTTTTTCTCGTTAGATTTTATGAAATTTGAGTGACAGAAAACAAGTTGCTGCATTTTTGTTAATGCCGTGTGTGGGATGGTAGATCATTTTAAGCGTCGCAGTTCTGAAAAAAACTGGGCAAAATATTCACCTTTCACCTCTTAAGTTAAAAAAGGCTTTTATTTTTGCAAAACTACAAAGCATGGTATTAATAACAATTGGTCAAGACGATTTTTTCTGGCAAGAAACAAAACCCATTTCTTAAACAAATTTGATGGTGCTGATTCCGAAAATGACCTTAGTTTTTTGCTGTACTGAAATTGTTCATTTTAGGAGAGATGATTAATTTATGATCTTGGTTGATCGCAAAATTTAGTTAATAAAGGTCGTAGAAACCGATCAGTATTCTGGTAGACTGAGAAATTTATGTCAATCACCTGAAATAAACTATTTTTGAGTCGTAAATTTTAAAGTACCGAAGTTTTTCAATTAATCGGCAAAATTCAAATTAACTGATAAATTTGATCAGTAATACACTTTTGTAAACCTGAAAATTAAGGCGACATCAAAAAATGAAACCCTAAAATGTTCTGTTTGATATTCATAAATACATTTCATCACTATGGCAGGAAACCAAACACAATGAGAGCATTTTTCTTCCACTGTTGGAAAAAAAACTCCAACGAAAGTCGAGCCAATTGAATGCACCCATTCCATTGTACACGATACTGCTGGACTATCAAAAGGGAGTTAAATAACATTGAACATGACAAACAATCAAGAAAGAGAAAATATTTACCATAGTTCTTATGTTCACGAAGGTTTTATTTCTGCTGTTAGTTTATTAAATGTTTTGATGAAAATACTTGTTGGCCTTCGGATATTCAATCATGTTAGGGTCTGAATTTTGTTACAAAAATAGTATTTCTCAATAGGCATACCAATATTTGTTGGTTTAAATACAAATTGAGAGGTTTCCATGATTTTATTTTGAGAAATATTGCCATCGGTCAATATCATACATACAGGAAACAAATGTTTTTTTCCACAAAATGAGGCATTTATGTACAGTAAAATGGTAGCTAACCAACAAAAAGTAAGGTCGTTTTCAGATTCAGCGCCCTCAAATTAGCTAAAAAAAAG